CGCCCCGGGACCGGCCGCCGGGGCGAGGCGAGCCGCCCCTGCCGCGCTGCGGGAAGGCCCGGCGAGCCGGCTTGTGTCCTTACCATTAAACTCTAAACACCCGGCACTAAGAGCGTTTGGCTGCGAAACTAAAAGGGCAGGTCTTAAAAAAAAAATAAAAAAAACACCCAAAACGGGGAAGGGGGGGAATACAGCTGTCTCCCAAGTTGCGGCCGAAAGGAGTTAAAACCCTCGTGGCATCGCCTCTCCGATGGGCGAAGGACCCGCGGGAAACTAAAAAGTCAGGTCTTAAAAAAAAAATAAAAAAAACACCCAAAACGGGGAAGGGGGGGAATACAGCTGTCTCCCAAGTTGCGGCCGAAAGGAGTTAAAACCCTCGTGGCATCGCCTCTCCGATGGGCGAAGGACCCGCGGGATGAAGAAGATGCAAAAGCAGCAGTTACTTGTTTGCTGATTTAAAGGGAATCCACTCCGGGAAAAAAAAAAAAGGAAAAAAGAAAAAGATAAAGGAAAAAAGTTTGCAGGTAGCAGCACAGATCTGGAGTGGAGTCTGCGAGGGAAGGGACAGACAGAAAGAGGGATGGAGCGAGATGTCGGCGGAGAAGGGAGCACAGGGAAAGGGGGAAGAGAGCGAGCGAGCCCGGGAGGGAGAGGAGGAGGGGAGCCGAGGGCTGGCTGCTTGAGATGTTGTCTTCCCCAGATCTCTCCCCTCACTGAGAGCCTTCAGCTTTCTCCTCTTCTTCTCTTCCTGCTCGGTGGCTCCAAACTTGACCAGCCTTCCGCAGCCTTCCGTCTGATACGCAATTAGCAGCAAAATCTTTGCAAACACCCCGCTTCAGCGAGAGCCCTCTTCGTAAACATTTGCCTGCATGTCACCTTAGAGGACGGGCAATATTGTTTGTTGCCCCGTGGTGGTGTCCGGATTTTTATTCATGAATCAAATGCCTTTTTTTTTTTTTCCCCCCAGTCACGTAATAATCGGGTATCAGAAAAGACGTCACCACACCAATTCCTCAAGGAACACAGTTCTGTGTCGTCCTCAAAGATGAGCTTATCAGGAGTCATAAAGCTTCTCATAAACACCAACTCACACTTCCCCCCAAAAATAAAAAAACAAAACAAACAAACAAAAACCAAAAAACCAAGCCATCCCACAAGCCTAAAAGGATGTTCGCAACGGTCAAGCTTT